AGAACACAGCTTCACTTGCCCCAGGTCGGAGATCAAACTTCTCTTGTGCACGGAGGCGTGTCTCTTCTTGGATGAGACGTGCTAAGACCCCATCAAATTTTAGGTCTTCCCGGTTGATCAAAGCAGAGCGAATGGCCTCATATTCTGGCCTGAGTTTCATCAAAAAACGCAGCAGGCGGGATTTGCTACGTTCGGCACGGACTTCTTCAGAAACAGCAGCAGATCGAAGGGACGCGAGAAAAAGATCCTCCTCGGTCCAGAGGCGAACTGATGCATTGTAGTAGGCTGCGACATCCATGTCGCCCTGCTTCAGTGCGGCCAGCTCGGTTTCCAACTCAAACTGACGAGCTGTGTTGGAGGTAGCATACGTAGCGGCAAGATGAGACCACATCTCGGATGCGGTCGTAAACAGACGAAGACCCAGCAGTATAGATGGATCGACTGCGCCCAGAATCCAGGATTTGAGCCTGGCGTTATTCATCACCCAGCGAGACAGCTCCTGCTCAGTAGCAGGGGGAACTTGTGGTTGCGGAAGAGAACCATCAAGGATCGACAGAAGACCCTTGCCTTCAACAAAGATGCGGAATTGAAATTCCCACACCGCATAGTTCTTCGGATCAAGACGGATACTGAGGCGATCGGAATCGCCGGACGAAAGCTCTGATACCATGTTAGAAAATGAAATTGAAATACGAAAGACTCGGATTTACGTGGTATCCCTGAAAAGGTTCAGGACTAGTCCACGGGAGAGCCTCAAGACTCTCCTACTACTGATCGATATTACTTGGTGATCGGCTGCTGTACATAAGAGGAATATATATATGGCCAATACACCCTAGTTCCCTCGGCCATACTTCAAGAGAGGAAGAAAACCCTAGTACACTACGTAAACAAAGGGCCAACAATACAATGTGCACCCGCATGGGCCTGGACATGTGGCACACATGGGCTGGATCCGCTAACACTGACAATCGTCTTAACAATTCCAAAGCTAGGGATTATTATTACCCATATCTATAATAATAGCTAGTGGGGAGACAGATGGGTTGTTGGGCAGCTCTTAATTACTAATTAAATAGCAAAGTGCTATTTATATAAATAAATAGAAGTATGGTTGATGATCATGTGCATATATATTATTTGTTTCTAAAAACCAGCACATTATTTTGACAATCTAATTCGTTTTAAAATGATTATAAGCAGTGTGATTCAAAAAAAATTATTATAATTTATAACATTTCATTCTAATTATGAACAAGAAGATAGACGAATGAACCTGTACATGAATTATGTAAAACTTACATGTATTGTTACCATTTATGAAGTTGGCTAGATATACCATTATTCTGACAAATTGATTTTGAAATATGTTACTATCGACTAATTGAATAGTGCATAAATATTTATATATGAATTTTAAAATACTTTGTATTAATATTTTCACAAACAAGGGCATGGTCTAATGGTAATACCACATGCCCTTAATCATTTATGTAGTACATTAAATCACAAAAATGTTAAAACCTATATCACCCTTACTCAAAAAAAATTAATATTTCCTTTTTATTTTCTTTTACAAACTGACTTATACGTTATTATAAAATTTCTTTACCATAAGATAATAATAATAATAATAATAATAATAATAATAATAAAATCAAGTTCTGGACTATATATAGTATAGGTGCTAATAATCCACCCACAAGTAGCAACATATCTGAACTTCATAACCTTAATTACCGCTTACCCCTCACCCAACCAACATGGATAGAGAAGCAATAGGAGAGGAAGCAGAAGTTACATCGATCGGTGATGGTCAATCATTTCATAATCTCAATTAGTATTAATTACTACGCGCTACCATCTTCATCAGATGGATGTTGTGATCTGTGTATGAATACTAATTGGGATGATGAAATAATAGACCATGTTCTGGTTCATCTGCGGCAATACTATACTGGCTAGCTAGGGAATCTTTATCTGGTAGCATCAGCATGTTCTTCATTTCTTGGTTGCAGTTTTACTTCTTCTCAACCTGATTTGCTTAGCTTGTTTCCTATTGATTGATATGCAGGCATCTTCAAACTATAGGAGCTAACCGTTTATATATTTCCTGTACGTGGTAATGTTGATTTGAGACGAGTTTCTAAATTCAAGGTGCAGTTCTCTTTTGCATTCGGTTGACCGATTTGCGGTTTCGAGTTCGATCAAGTGATAAGGGATGAGGTTTGGTCAAAACTAGCTAGCTCTTTTGTGACCTTCTGGCTTTGATGAGTTTTTCTAGTAGAATTAGAAATGCACATCCCATTTCATCCTAAAAATCAATGATAGCTAGCAGAAACAGGAGCAAGATGTTGCCGCGATCTTGCTTTACTTACTAGTCACTCCTATGTATATACCACAATGCATCTATTTAATTTTCTTATCGATAATAGTGACGATATTTATTAATTGTACACTGGTGCTACAAATTTGATTTCATAGGATAATAAGAAAGAAAGTGATGCAGAATTAATTGGAGCAAGTTCCAGGCAGCTGCTAATTAATTACTAGCTAGGCGCTCCTCAAATTGTAGCCACCGTCGACGATGAGGTTCAACCCACTCACAAACTGCGACTCATCGCTGGCGAGTGATGCGGAACGAGACTTCGCGCACCGGTGATCTCGAACGATTTAGCGAAAGAACTAGAAAACACGATAAAAGAGCTACTTTTCTCTACTAACTACTTATACTTTATTCATCGACTTAATAAAACGAAGAGCAAAGGTACATATTTATAGGACAAGTCCCACAAACCCCTTTCCCCTTAAGACAAGGAAACCCAAACCCAAAGCAACAAGTAAACGAATACTTCCTAAACAAGATAGGTAATAATAATCCTAGACCCAAACTAATACGAATAACCCGAATAATAACCGAATATTCCAACAAATAATAATAATAAAACAATAATAATAATAATAATATCAATGGGCCCGGCCTAAGACGCCGTTCCCCATCAATCCTCCCCCCTTTTAAGAACTTCGTCCCCGAAGTTCAGGCGCCATCTCAACCCGGATCGATAAAGAAGAATCGCTCCCATGTGTTGATGACAACAAAGAGAGTGGATGTCTGTCGATCTCGTTTTCTACGCTTCCAATTACGTTCCGGGACTTGAACGAATCCACCAATCCCAACTCGTTCCAACCCTCCACCATGAGTGATGTGATCTCCAGTAACTTGCATAACCTCACTCCCCCACGTCATATGCAACTCCCCGCGCAAGGGAATCCACCAATTTCCTTCCTCCAAACCATTCCTTCCATGCAATCCTCCACCAAAGCCACGTATGAATGTATGACCCAAGGGCTCCTCCATGTTAATGTGATTCTCATGCAATCCCAATGCTTCCCCTACCGAACCACGCATATTCCTTCCCTGTTCTTTCATGTAATTAGCGTACCACTCAGCCCTTTTAATACAATCCATCCTCCTGCGTGAAAGAGCATCATCATTCGCACACGTACATGGAGTGGGAATCATGATGTCTTCTGCTTCGGAACTCTCACTCCTCCTGCGTGGAATTTTACCATCGGCCGCCTTTCCTACTCCCCCAACTTTGGACGTTCCCGTAGCGACTTCACAATTCCCCTGCTTTGCCGGTCGAGCCCCGAACAACAAGGCTACGGTTACTACGCCCATCCTCGGCCTAAGGACCAATTGAATCCGCCTGTCCTTCGAAACAGAAGCAGGCCGGAGCTCTGACCCACGGACGACATTTGGCGGCCCAGTAGTGGGACCGGCTCTTCGTGATTCCTGCCCTACCACAGCTGCCGACCTGTCATCGTCATGTTCGCTCGCCAAACCTCCCCAGCTGTGCCCGACGGCGATTCCTCCCGGCTTATCCCCACCGCACTCCGCTTCTTGGTGAGACTCCTCTTCGGCGCTTGTCTTGACGGCTGCAGACGCCACCACAATTGGCCACTTCATAGGTGACATGATCGGGTTCCTTGCCGGTGGAAATTGATCCCCGCCACAACCTCCATTCGCTGCAGCTTGCGACTCGGGCTCCACCTTGCTCGTCGTTGACCGCAGCAACTCTCCCGTCACGCTGGGATCAACAGCGGCCTGCGAACCTGTTACCGTCGCCATCTCTTCCGCGAGGGAACTGAGTTCGCTCTCCAACTCCTCCAACTCAACTTGAAGCCGAGCTTGTCCACGTTGCGGCGTCTCAGGCACATCCTGTAAGCCGTGACCCTCGCCTTGAAGCTGACCAACGAGCGAACCTTGGACCTCCACCGACTCCTCCGTGTCCCGGTTTCCTTGGCGATAAGAGTCATCAAAGATTCCCACCACCGTTCGTTGATGTTGACGGAGATCTTGTAGTGCTTCTTCTCCACCACGATCGGAACGGACCCAACCCTGGTCGACATCTGCGAATTGAGGACGTGCGATTTGAGCATCCTTGGTCGTCCATGTCGCTCCCCAGGCTTGACCCGCGGCCGCCCAACCCTCTATGTGGTTACGAATTCCACGATTCCACTGATTTCTCCAGTCCAACGCCTCCCATCCCGGCAGGCACGAGGATTGATCCTGAATCACATACGGTTGGTACGACCAAGGCGGATGGTGCGAAGCTGCTTCGACAGCTCTAGCCCTGGCGGCTAGGCTCTCCAGGTCTTGACGGACGTGTCCATCAGGATATGACCAAGGCGGGTGATGTGACGATGATGAATACCTCGGCAACGGTGGGTGTAGCGGCGTCCAATAGCTAGGGTAGCCATTGACGTGACGAGGAAGGGTTTCCTCGTAGGTTCGTGCCCAAGGCGTGTAACCCTCTCCTCCTGGACGTTGCGTGAAAATCGGCATTGCGAATTCAGCGCCTAACCAGGCTCTGATACCAATTGATGCGGAACGAGACTTCGCGCACCGGTGATCTCGAACGATTTAGCGAAAGAACTAGAAAACACGATAAAAGAGCTACTTTTCTCTACTAACTACTTATACTTTATTCATCGACTTAATAAAACGAAGAGCAAAGGTACATATTTATAGGACAAGTCCCACAAACCCCTTTCCCCTTAAGACAAGGAAACCCAAACCCAAAGCAACAAGTAAACGAATACTTCCTAAACAAGATAGGTAATAATAATCCTAGACCCAAACTAATACGAATAACCCGAATAATAACCGAATATTCCAACAAATAATAATAATAAAACAATAATAATAATAATAATATCAATGGGCCCGGCCTAAGACGCCGTTCCCCATCAGCGAGGTAGAGAGCCGCCTCGGCGATGTCCTTCTCGTCCAGCAGCGGACCTTTCAACGCCGACTTCTGAGCATAGAACTCCTGAACCCCCTTCCGGTCCAACCCGAGCGCCTTCATTGCCATCGGAGTCGGGACGGCGGCGGGAGAAACCGCGTTGACCCGAATCCCGTACTGCCCCAGCTCCACGCACAGGTTCTTCACCAGCCCCACCTGCCCGTGCTTCGAGGCCGTGTACGTGTGAGCGAACAGCCCAAACGTGTCCGTCACCACGCTGGCCGTGAACAGAATGGTCCCTGTTTGTCGAAATAATCAGTTAATCTCAATAACTCGCGAATTGTTAAAAAAAAAGCAGATTCGATAATAATAGACCTTATACCTTTTTTCTCCGGGATCATCACCCTGGCCGCGTGTTTGGCGCACAAAAACCCGCCCACCACGTTGATGTCCAGCACTCTCCTCAGCTCCTCCGCGTCCACCGTCAAGATCTGGTGCCCGGAGCTGTCCCCCGTGACGCCGGCGTTGCTGTACATGATGTCGAGCTTCCCGTGGGCCGAAACGACGGCGTCCACGGCGCTCTCCACGTCGCTCTCCTTGGTGACGTCACAGCTGACGAAGGAGACGGGGTGTTGGGAGTTGGAGCTCGCTTCTTTAGCGACGGAATCTCCCAGCGAGGATTGGACGTCGGCGATGACGACTTTGGCGCCGTTCTGGGCGAACAGCCTGGCCGTGGCGGCGCCGATCCCGCTTGCTCCGCCTGTGATCAGTGCCACCTTCCCTGCTAACCTATTCATTAATTAATTGAGCGGGTTGATCATTGCTACTAATTAATTACGATCAATGAATCACTAATTATGCAGACAGGCTATTTATTTACCTCCGGGAAACGGATTGTAGCACGGAAGACATTATTGATATATCAGATGTGCCAAATGATCTGGATGGAACTGGAAGCCTTGGAATGGATTGTTTGCTAGTTAGTATAGTACGTATGATTTGTCTCAGTGAAATGGATTAATGATCAATTCTTATAGGTGTATATCTCTTCACCAGCCGGATATATGCTTTATAATATAATAATGATCAATTTAATTTGTTCTTTAATTTATCGCATCGCACCAACATGTCGACTAAAATAAATTAAAATCTTGGGAACCCACAAATGACCAGATTTCTCAAAAAGGATCATCATGCATGGTATGGCTTGTGGCTTGTGGGGACTGGGGAGTTCTAAATGTATAAACTATAAAGTATAAACTAACTAATTAATTGGTTGGTAAGCAATGTGTTTCTTGCACTGTTTCTCCGTGAGTATAGTAGTTTCTCATGAATTAGCGCAATGTGTGAAGGAAAACGTGATGGATTTAAATAAATCTCAGAGACCTCACTATTTGACTTTTTCATTCAGATTAACCTATTGAAGCGCGCAAATGCTCTAGTGCGGTATGAATCGGACTCTCACGAGAACTACGATTTAATAGTGAGAGATATCTCAAGATCACTGACCGGATCAACAGTATATTCGGTCCGGTTTGGTCGGGTTCAAATGCTATTTCGATCTATTTATATTAAAATTAATGTCCCCAAGAACCGAACCACATGTTATTCAATTCGATATTAACCGATGCAAATATCAATTTGCTCCGGTTTGTCCACGGTTTGTCCAACTCCGGTTTGTCCACGGACTCCTATACTCAGATTACCTACCACGGTTTGTCCAACTCAAATATGTGGCTCCACTCGATTACATATTCTTATAATATATACGTCAAGACAATCCAACTCAAATTATATGTGGCTCCACTCAATCACATTTTTTTTTTATAATATATAGATCAAAGGGTGAACGACGACTTTCCCTGTAGCTCTCCCAGTCATGAGATGGGAAAATGCCTCCAAAGTCTGAGAAAATGGGAAAGGACCATTAGGATCAATCAATGGCTTCACTTCACCACTCTCCAAATAAGGCTTCAGCTTCTCCAACGCACTCCCTTTCGAGGTCACCACAAACCAACTCGCCGGCGGTGGCACCGGCAGTATCGCCACCACTCTGCCGCCGCCGCTTTTCGCTGCATTCACCGCAGCTGTCCCGTTTTGCACTGCAGTAGTAGTTGTTCATCGAACTTTCAGAAACCGTGCACAAATTCTCCCGCACAGAAAGAGCTTTTTGCAACCAACAAATTGTCGCCAAAGGCAAAGTTCCAAATACTTTTGACGACTAATTCTTGTTTGCTTTTTGGCGACTCTGAATTGGTCGTCATTAAAATTTAAAAGTAGAGATAAATTGGCTACGAATATGTTTATATATGCTTTGTTTCATACCTACTGTGTAGGGATGGCAATCAAACCCATGGCCGCGGGTACCCGATCGCCCCATACCCAGTCAACGCGGGGAATCCCCGCTTTGACCGGGTATGGGGCGGGTATGGGTAAAACCCGCAAAAGGTTTGATGGGTATGGGGCGGGTATGGTTTTAGCCTCCCCCGCCCCATACCCATACCCATACCCGCCCCACCAAGAGAATTTCTTCACATATAAAAAAATACGTGGATTAAATTGTAATCTATCAATGATGATGATAACTCGAGAAAATAAATAGTAGAAATGCAATTGAGTAACCACCTTAATCAAAACCTAATTCATTTCCCTCAATTCTCCTTCCACTCTTTCACTTTCCCCCTTGTCAACAAAATTATGTTAGTTAATTATTACTTAGTAAATGTATCAAGAGTTAGAGCATAATAATTTAAAAAATATTATAGTCTATATTATGTATTAATGGATGTTTTAGGATCATATTCTTTGAATCGTATTTAGAAAATGACCGTGTTTTGTTGACTTCGTGATATAATAGGTTTGTTTATGGTTATAATTAAAACTTTTCTTGTAAGTTTTAGGTATAATAATGTTGGATGTACGGGGATGGGTATTACCCATGGGTACCCGAAACCCACGGGTATGGGAATGAGTTTGCAAAACATTCCCCTGCATGGGTATGGGGCGGGTATGGGTTTGGGTATTTGAAGATGGGGATGGGGATGGTTTAGGCAAACCCGCCCCAAACCCGCCCCATTGCCATCCCTACTACTGTGTCGAACACGACGTCGAACTTGTGATCGAGCTCTTCCACATTTTGCTTGGTGTAATCGATGGCCAGATCGGCTCCCATGCTCTTCAGTCGCTCCAGCTTTGAAGTGCTTGACGTGGCTGCCACTTTGTATGATCCGAAAACATGCTTCTCCAGCTATTCATGTATATGTGGATTATTATGTATTAAACGGAAAATATTAAACAAAAGCCCAACACGTACAGCTTTTCTTTCCGTTTTCCCCATTTTATATGGGCCCAGGTCCAGAGATTGTTTTCTAGACGCATGCAAGGAGTAGGGGTCTTCAAACGGTTTGGTTACCGTGGTAACCGTTTTAACCGGTACTATTTGGATAATTTGGTTTGGTTAATTTGGATAATTGGTTTGATTTGATCAAAGTTTTTAGCTTGTTTGGTTTAGGTGGTTTGGTTTCAGACACTCCTAACCACTCAAACCAAATTAACCAGTTAAGTAATTAGTCATATATCTAACATATATTATATACACATACTTAATACTTTGCATAACCACTCAAAAGTTAACGTTCATCCCTTTTAGACTCATAAAATATAAAGGTCAATATTGCTCATATAGTGTATATTTGTATATGTAAAATGTAGACCACAACGGACGCCTAATTTAGATAAATTTCATACATTATGATGGATGAAAACTTGAAAGGAAGGTCATTTCCAGCCTATGATAAGTGCTAAGAGACTAAGTCAATTTACACAAACACAACAATTCATTAACCCATACCATTGTCATAAATTTTTGTTAGGTGAATACTTCTATACTAATCGTAAGATAATTGTCTTAGTTGCATGTATTTTTGTTAAGGGCCAACTATAACTACGTGTTGATTGTTATGTTTTATTCATTATATAAATTGCGAATTGTTGCATTAACCGGAAAATTTTCATCGTCAATGATAATGTGATTTTATATATATTGGTTAATCTGGTTAACCAATTAACCAAACCGATTAAACTTTAGTTTGGTTAATTTGGTTGTTGTATTACTTTGGACGGTTTGGTTATGATATTGTATTCCATGGTTAATGAAATTTAGCCTTATTTAGTTTGGTTATAACCATGGTAACCATTTGAACACCCCTAGCAAGGAGGCCTATTAACTAACTATGGTAGTTTGTAATGGGCCAGCTCAGAAAGAAATTGAAACCTTTCTTTAGTTGGCCCAAATAAACAAATATATGTCTTCAATTTTCATAATTCACCTCACAAACACTATTAAGCAAATTATAAGCATAAATTTTAATAGCTACCCTAATATCATTGTGAATTTTAAGCATCAAATCTCAAGCAAACAAACTAACATACAAATATTGCAAATGCAACTGATTTTTTATAAAAAAAATCTAAAAGAGAATAAATATGTCTAGTTAAATTATTTTTTAAATTAAATAGAGGATTGTCCTTTGTATGTTTAGTAGAATCTGAATGAGAAATTTTTTGAATCAGATATATAAAAATTGATTAATTTATGTTGTCTTTTATAATTTTATGTATTTGTTTGCATCATAATGATGAGAATTGTGTTCCATAACTATGCAATCCTAACATCATACTCACCTTACGCATATTGAACAAGTGCTTATAGAAACTTAACCATCCAAGTGGATCCCAGCACCATACTTCTCTCCACGGCCCATATTAACACTGTTTTTTCTAAAAGCTTTACCGACTACATTTTCCTACTACGTTTACTAAAACTCAAAACACACACCATCTATAAAATATAATTCTAGAACAATGAAGTTCTTTTTTTTAATTTTATTTTATGATCAAGCCTCCACTAAGTTAAAACCGTAGTCACTATCCACTTAAAATAACCCCCACTTGCAAAGGCAGAATAGTCAAGAACCATGATGTTGATTGAGTGAGTACCTGAATCACAAGGGAACCAACTCCACCAGCACCACCAAGAACGAGAATGGACATCTCACTGGTTAACCCAACTTTCTCAAGGCCCTCCAGTGCAGTTTCAATGGCGAGTGGGAGGCTAGCTGCTTCAGCAAAGCTCAAGTTCTGGGGCTTAAGAGCCAAAAGCTTCTCTTCCACAGCAGTATACTCTGCCAAAGACCCATACTTCTTGGGTTGAAGCAGAGCTGCCTCGTTAATATTCCCGTATACTTCATCTCCAACTTGCAGGTTCTTCACTTTGCTTCCGAGTTCAACCACCACGCCAGCAACATCGTAACCTGGAACTGTCTGAATATAGAATACAGTTTAGTGTCATAATAGGAATGTTCAAACATCAATTGGGGTGGTGGCGCAGTTGGTTAGCGCGTAGGTCTCATAGCAATAGAGTGATCCTGAGGTCGAGAGTTCGAGCCTCTCTCACCCCAATATTTGTTTTTGTTTTTCAAACTGATTCTAACGTCAACATGTATGAGTGATTATACGATTTACTAAGGGTCATATTCAAATTGTTATTATACATTAAAATAATTAATCCCAACAATTCAATATGGTTTCACATACATGTCAATAACTATACTATTTCAATTTTACCAAGCATCATGTTCGATCGTTTTTATACCTTAAACGATTAGTTATATTTCTTACATTTCTACACAGACCTATTACTCCCAATAATGATTGTAAGATCCACAAGTACACGAGTTTGATTTTAGTATGAGTCATATCTACTTGATCTCTAGAAATCAGGTATTCATGATTCTCCCGAAAATGATTCAAAGGTCGACGAGTTCGAGCCTCTCTCAAACCTTCAACTATGCATATCTCAAATTGATTTCACATCCATTTTCTCGAGATTTTTTTAAGATAAGGATGAAATAGGTTAATTTTTTAAAGTTAGGTGCTAGGATTAAAATGGTTCAAATTCTCAAGACTCTGCCCTCCTGACCCAAGATCTCAAATGAACAAATATCTAACAAAGAAGCTTGTAAGTTGTAATTTTAGAATTGGAATGCTGTATATAAAACAAAAAGAGACACAGCAGACTAGTTTACCGGTGGAGAAGAATCTGTGGCTTTGATAGCTCCCTCCATTCTCTTATAATCCAACAGATTAAGCGCTGCAGCAACAACCTTGACGAGAACTTGATCTTCTTTCACATCAGGAACTGGGACTTCAGATTCCAGCTTCAGGACCTGGGCAGGGTCGCCATATTCAGAGTAGACCCAACCCTTCATTTTGGTGGGAACAGTCACAGTACTACTACTCATGGTATTATTTCTTTCTTTGGTGTTTACTTCTAGCTGAAGATCAATGATCATGCTGCCATGTCCATTATATATACAACTGAAGTGACAGGCAAGGAAATCATATTATTAACAGTTTGGAAATAGGATACGTAGGTTTGGCGTCACCGTTGATGCAAGCAAGAACAGAAACCATTTTCCTGGTATTGAAATGAAACGAGTCCTCTCAAACTAGGACAGATATGTAGAGAGTTGTTGGCATTTGTTAGTGGAGGGGTGTCACTGAATAGATAATGGAAATGCTTCCTGTACTGGAAATCAAGTCATGTCCCCTACAGGCTCGGTACATGACTTCACAGGACGGGAAGACTTATCGAGCATCTCTCTCAATGTCGCAATAAGCTGCGTTGAGGGATCGCGTCCTATGAACAATTCGTGGTCTGGTTCGTTACCAACAGAGAGAACCACGGCAGTACCACAAGTCACACAACCCTGACTCCATTGTGAGCCAGAGGTTGAGGTGGTTGGTACAAAATGTGCAGAACTGGGAACAAGGGTAGCCCCCGGCCAGCCAGCATCGTTTCCATGGAAGTCTCCCGATCGAAGAGAAAGCAAACTCATCAAGCTAAATGAAATTGTTTGTAATGTATTCTATAACATTCTGAGAAACGACACTATGGATATAGTGGCTGGAACCCTCAGCTTGATGGCAAGCAAAAGGAATTAGAAGTACTGCGAGTTCCACAGAAAAGGGGAGGCAAGCTACAGATTTCACAAATTAAGATGTTGTAACAGAAAAAGTAGCATGAGTTTATGAATGGCAAAAGTGCTACAACGTACAATTCCTTCTCAAATGCCACCTAAACTTCTAATTGAATACAACAAACAATTGACACGCCCTATCAAAACTCATACACCAACACTTTCACCATGGATGAGAAAGGAGATCGTGAGAGCGATCGATCAAGCTCATCTAGTCTCTCTGTATCTAGTCCCGAGTATTATGCAGATATTCTCACTACTATGTACGCAAGTTTGTATGGTATTCATTATTCTCCATCGTATATCTTTCCCCATTCCAAGCACACCAAGAGGATCTCAAAGTAGGTACTACAATGAATGTGAAGTGAAGAGAGTGTAACCAGACAGAATCGAGCTCGATGCAAAGGCAACAAAAGCTAGGAACGACAGGATGAGAGATGCTCGTGCCATGCCCGAGAACTCGTCACTCCCCCAGTTGGATTCCCAGTCCTCCACTCTGAACGCTGCTGATGTCGATGCAGACAGCAGAAGATATGCTATTATCTGCATATGGCATAAAGAAAATTATGCGACCCTGTCATGAAACTGAAACGACATCTCCTAGAAGGCATCGATTCCATAAGGAGAGAAAGCTGCAAGTTTGATGGATAAGAAAGCATATGAATAGGGTCACACATAATGCATAAGGTTGACCAGGACATACTTGGCAAGAATGTATTATGTGTTGAATTAATTTGTGACCTTTCTCAAAGTTTATGATCCCAAGCTTCACATCATAAATTGCCATCTGCTGAGAATATGAATTGCAGACAGCATACTACCAGCTTGTTCCTACTGGAAATGGTCCAAAAGGTATAAATTCGACTCAGAGTAAAAAGGAATTGCCTTTTCATGCAACATGATCCTCTCTACAGCTTAGCTTTTCACACGGTACTTTAGAAGCATAACAAGAAGGGCATTTTGAACAAGCTTATTAAGGCTCCTCGCAAAGGCTGAAAGGCCCATTGGCCACTTGCAATTATATTCTATCCTCAACTATGAAAGAAAGAACAAACAACCAAAGCAAAACAACAGTCGACAGTAGGTGGCACCAAACAAAAAGGCAGCATCATTATGGGGGAAAGGGAAGAGGAATAGGTAGTAGTATTAGAGTAGAGGGGAAAGAAATATTCCAAGCATATAACAACCAAACAAAGAAACAAATAAAGACATGGCCCAAAATATTCTGAACTCCAGCCAAGAAACTTCCATAGAAAAGGACATTAACCCACCTGACCACCCATTTACTATAAACAGGATACAATCAATAGCCAGTTGTTGACGGTGTTTTTACAGTATAGAGAACAGAGTGATGTCGACTAGAGCAAGAGGTCACTCAACCGGCCATGGGTCCTTTTTTGGGACATTGCCACAGTGGTCCAAAGCAAGCTCACATAAAAGGATAGACACAGCAGATAGTAACCCATGAAAGCTTCTTGCCACATTAGGAATTGAGTGGTGGCTAATGAAGCAAAGTGCATAGGTTAGGTGGGACTTGGGAGGATGAATGGATGATGAGAAGGTGGCATGGTGACGTATTTAATATGGGCAAAAGGGACAGTGGAGCTTGCCTGGTCCAGAGAGAAATCGATGCAATCCCGGAGCCAGTTCCCGGTTGGGCTATGAACTCTTTTAGTGAGCATTGAGTAAGCAAGATCAAATGCTTGAACTCCTGAGTACACAAACCCCACCACGTTCACTGTCAAGCAATACCTGAAGGGAAAGGGCAAGGGAAAGGATAAAACAACAAAGCCAATCAACAAAAACATCATTGAATTGCTAAATCAATTCATAAAGTACTCTCATTTCATTGACTTTCATCTCCTGGATCAGTTGAATCTGTAGCAAAATGGTGATCTAATTAAATATACTAACATCATTACCATCTAAACTCGGCTATTAGTAACAAAACAGTCATTCTGTATCCAATGTGCCAATTAGACTTGCCATGACACCAAAATCAACACTCAACTTGTGAGCAAACGCATGAACTCAGACATCCAGTTCATTTCCGAATTGTAAAGGGGCTGCTCCGGTGGATGCACCAGTGGGGATTGGTCGATTTCGGTGACATTGCAAGCCTATTTGACATGCTACCTCAGCCCATCACATGAAGTGACCGTTTTGTTCTGTGACTATTTCTAGCTTAATGAGCATTTTGTTACAGAATCAGATCAAAGAAGGTTACTCTGCTGATTGTGCTACATTACCTGAACTCCTTGTAGCGGTAGAAAGACTCGAGTGCCCAGCCTTGATCCTTGTCAGCAGCCAAAACAGCGAGGGAAATCAAGCAGAAGACAAACCCCAAAATCCTGGAACCCAAGAGAGCTCCCCTCTTAGCATTCTGAAACTTGGCCTTCCTCATAATCGACAAATTGGGTCTCAATCTTCTCCCCCCAGTAGCCCTCCCACCGCCATCAACAGCAGCAGCAGCAGGAGGAGGAGGAGGAGGAGCACCGCCTCCCCCTCCATCTGGGGCTGCCTTGGACGGCCCAGAAGCCACCGGCATAGGGGCGATGGGCGGGGACTCAGGGGACGGCGCCTCCAGAGCTCGCCGTAGCTGCGGAGGAGACTCCGCCGCCTGCTGCTGATGCTGATGCGGAGGTTGAGGAGGGGAGGAGGAAGGGGAGTGGTAGTGAAGAAGGGAAGGCGGGGGAGGGTGAGATATGTTGCGGTTGTTCTGCGTTTCCAATTGGTACTGCTGAATCGAATCGGTCTCCTGTTGCGGTGGTGGCGACTCTATTTCATAGTGATCTTCGCCTTCTTCTTCCTCCTCCATCCCCGGCGGTGGCGATTGAATATCATCTTGCTGTTTCTTCGGCTCGTGTTCTTTGTGCTCCATTGAGGAAGGAAGGAACTTGTTGCGAAATTGGAAGCGCCGGTGGCGACAGGGCTCGGTTCGGAGCGGCGGGAACCAGCCGGCGGTTACTGTTGCTAGGAGATTGGAGTGACTGCAGTCTGCAAGATCGTTGTTTGTGGAGAAAGAGAAGAAGAGGACAGGAAATGGGCGGTGGCGGTTTCTGAAGGAGGTTTGAAATGCTGCTCTGCTGTGGCCACTTTCAGACCAACAAGAGTCAAGTCAGAGTGACAGTGTAATATAGCTGACGTCTGAGGGGCCGATCCGCTACACGACACGTGGAATTTTAAATTCTTGAACTTTCTATTTTTTTCTTTTGGAAAATGTAGAATGATATTTCTTACATAGATCATAAATGGGGAAATTTTGATCTTTATTCTCTATATTACACTTACGTGCTTTACATAAAGATTTTATTATTTTTATCGGATGATCGTTAACTTAAATAAATGTTTAATCACAAATATAATAACTGTCAAATTTTGTATTTTTAAATCTGAATTATATGACACTAGTAGTCAGTAGGCTGTGTAAATTTGAGAGCACGTATCCGTTCTAATGACAATAACACAAAAGATTAAAAGTGTACTAGCATCAATTCAACTCGAACGATTTATCTATTTTTTATGAGTTAACAATTAGCAAATGACATGGACGAACTACTGGGTTTAAATCCTATGAATATTTGGTGGTGATTAGTATCCATATCACATACCAATAATGATGATAATACTAAAAACAATATCATTACTTTGGTGACAATAAGTCAAATCTAAGATTACTCAATACTTGAATGTCATTATTGAATGTTACAACACACACATGATGATACCACTCATCGAACAAAATAATACACATACATGATGACACAATGTGGGAAACACGATTTTTCTATATTATTATTATAATCATTATTAGGATAATTCTTATTATGGTTAGTAGTCTTCTAGTAGAATTAGGTTTATTCTTAGGGTTTTCTAGTACTTCCCTATATATATGTACTTTGGGTCTTTTATCAGATTAAGCAGAAATTAATAGAAAAGTTACCCTTCCCCAAAACCCTAATCTCTTCCTCTCTCAAATCTCGTATATCCTCCTCTCTAGAGGCCTCGGCCGTTCTTTCGGTTCTTCCCCAATTCTGTTCCTAATCCCTAATTCTCTTCTAAATCCCTAAATCTCTACCAATTCCCAATTTCCCAACACAATCGTTGGAACCCTAAAAATAGGTTTCCTACATCTGGTATCAGAGCCCGGTTTCGAGAATTGAGTTTTTCACAACTCTCAACCGGGGACGAGTTCTACAACCGGTTCGACGATGAGCTCTTCAAGGCTCTCGGACCTGTCATGGGCAGAACTGCGGGAACGGGCACGCCGCATCGGACGTCGTTGGATCCCCGAGGAGCTACCGCTCGCGCAGGAAAAAGATCATGCCACCATCAAAAGCACCATCACCACCGTCGCAGTACCGGAGTCGCGAGAGCCAAAGCTGGCTGTGGCTTCTATCCTCGGAGAAGAAGCTGTTGCCCCGGCTACAATCAAAGGTGCAGCAGAGAAGCAGTCGTTGACAGTGGGCAAGAAGGCAGCTACAACAGCTGCAGTTTTCCCGGCAACATCACCATCCACAGTTGAAGAAGGAAAGGTGGTCGTCGAGAGTTTTGGCCAGCAACGACAGCCCCTGAAGGGTGCAGCAGGACGACCTGTCCCCCGATCGTCTGATCCAACCTTCACCACCAGTGAGCAACCACGCAATCCTGCCAGCACCGCCAAAGACAACTTCAGGGCGGCAAAGGTCGAGGCCCCTCATCCGCAAAACCCAGCTGCCTATGGGTCTTTTTTTGAGATCCCTTCAAAACGGAGAGCCTCGGGTTATGGGAGGCCCTCGACATGGAAGTTCAGGAAGAAGAAAAGAGGACCCGGAGATGGCTGGGCTTCTGAGAAGCAGAAGAAGAGTGAAGAATCACCGTCGGAGCCTGCTGCCGACCAGGAATCCACCACGATCAGAGTTCCGCCACCACCGGTGGACTCGCGATTTGCGGCAGCCTCCGTGGCGTGGTCGATCGACGAGGACTCGTCGTCGAAGAAGAGCTGCTGGCTTGAGTCACCGAAATCCAAAATGCTCGGAACACTGCTACCTTCAGCAGCGACCTTCAAGGCGCCGATGGCGACGAAATTGGAAGACTCGCCGCGAGAGGAGAAGAAAGTAAAGGGCGACATGGTTGCCTTGCCGGAGACGAGAGTCGCGACGAGGGCGAAGAAGACAGAGGAGGAGAAGGGCGGCGACATCCTCTGTCCGTCGTCGAAGATGGCGTCGGCGGCCGCCCGAATCGTGCAGACGCCGCGATATGATGTCGAGGCGACGACGGAGCTGAGGGCGGCGGCGACCGAGGCGGAGAAGGCAGCTGCGGGCGCCGACGCGGGGGAGCGCTCGGCGGCGGAGGCGGCAGCGATGGCGGACGGCGCGACGAGGAAGAAGGACGGCGGCGGCAACTTCCCATCTCCAGCAACCCTAGGTCGCGCCACCAAGCGGCCTGAACCATTGGGCCGAGTTGTGGTTCGAGTCGTTTGGCTCGAGTTGGCCGAATTGGTTCAGCAAGGCGGGCCGAATTTTGTGCTGAGACGGGCCTCACAAGGGACAGAGCTAAGTATCGGGCTCGTAATTGGTGGGGTGGATTTTGTTGGGCTCGAGTTGGGCAGATTATATCAGCAGAGCAAGCTACTTCGGGCCAACAGTTTTAATGGGCTGGGAGGAGTGGATTGTTTGGGTCACGGGCTGGCAATGGGAAAGGACATGATGGGCTTGGCAAGGCGAGATGGGCCAGGTCAAGTGGATCCCCCAATGGACAAAGGCTATTTAAGTTTTGGGCTGGTTTGTCAAGAGAAGATCTTCGAATACAGACTTGGGCCGCGTTTGGAGGAAGAAAATAAGCCACACTTGGGCTATGTGTTGAGGGAAACAGGCTTAGATGGAGTTCTTGGGTTGGTAAGTGGGCTTTCAAATGACCCAAGCCGAAATGAAGAAAAACTCTATGATTCTTATATGGTGGAGTTTGAAAAGGAGGATGGAGGGATATTTGATCATGGTTGCAACTTGCGTTGTCACGTGGATTGGGAGGAAGCCATTGGAGTCGGAGTCGCTGGTGTGGGATTCGTTCAAGTAGTGGAACACAATTGGAAGAAAAGGAAGCGCAAGCAGCGAAGAAGCGATGATTGGATTGGGCGAGAAGATTGGAAGAAATGGGTCAAGTCAGTCAACCTTGAGGGCAAGGTTGGTCTGAAGGGGGAGGAGATGTGGGAAACACGATTTTTCTATATTATTATTATAATCATTATTAGGATAATTCTTATTATGGTTAGTAGTCTTCTAGTAGAATTAGGTTTATTCTTAGGGTTTTCTAGTACTTCCCTATATATATGTACTTTGGGTCTTTTATCAGATTAAGCAGAAATTAATAGAAAAATTACCCTTCCCCAAAACCCTAATCTCTTCCTCTCTCAAATCTCGTCTATCCTCCTCTCTAGAGGCCTCGGCCGTTCTTTCGGTTCTTCCCCAATTCTGTTCCTAATCCCTAATTCTCTTCTAAATCCCTAAATCTCTACCAATTCCCAATTTCCCAACACAATCGTTGGAACCCTAAAAATAGGTTTCCTACACACAAAGAGCTGGAAAATGGACGTTACTGTTAGTTAACTTAATAGCATCATGCCTAACAGTAAGAGGTGGACCAGGTTCAATATTTTGAGAAGAAATCCTGAGCATCATGGTACTGCCTAGACACTACATTGTACAGAGGGTGTATGGGCTCTAAGAGGTTGGAATAAGGTCCCAGCACAGAGGTCGGCAATGGCGGCGAGTTCTCGTTCTTCGACCGGCTGTACTGGCACACTGACAGCCCGCTTAAGCAGTAGCAAGTGTGGTAATAGTCCCTGGCCTTCCCTGGTTTGTCCCTGAACCCTCCCTCTTGTTCCTGCAGTTCACAACAAAGGCCAGATCTATCAACAACCACTCAGAAAGTAAAGTTTGAGGCACGAAGCAGATTCTGTAGTAGATTTGTATAGGTGGATAGTATTCGTAGTCTAAGTAATACATCATTTTAACAAATACATCCACCTACTATGATGTTTAACAGACACGTCCTTGTACTATCTTGTTATATTCCAAGGGTATATGTATTACTATACCTGGGAGCACAGGACAATGTACTGCTGCAAGGCCATAGTATGAAATAGAGGTTCCAGCTGATTGTGTCTTGAATGCTGAATGTGAACCGCTGTGCTGCTCTCAGGTGAATGAGAAGAGCTCTGATGGCCTGAAGAAAAATTCGAAACGTGAGAAGTGAGCTCGCGAAATGATACGGAGCTAAGAAGAGCAACAAGATTAGGAAGGAAGGGATTATCACTTACCTTCCTGGTCCTGCTCAGGGTGTAAAGCTTCATTATCATCTGATGAATCCCTATCTTCGTCATCTCCTTCAGAAGTACTATCTGAAACCCACTCTACTTCCACATCAGAAGTCCCAAAGCCTTCCCCACCAAATGCTGGCAGTCTTTGCAGCAGTGCAAATACACCTCCCTGAACAACTTATTTCAACAAGTAACGCCATGAGGAACAAGGTTCACTACAGCAGTAGGAATGGGGGGACAGAAATAGCAGTACCTGCCAGAAGGAGTAACAGCCATCAACCAACTTGTTCGTTCTGCCTTGAAACCCACATTCCACTCCTTGTCGAAAGGCTACCCAATCCTAATGCAAAAGAAACAAAGCAGTCAGACAGTTGTTGAAGAAGAAAAATATGAAAAACAAACGAAAGCATAATTTTCTTACAATTAAACTAGCCAAGTCCAAACGATTGGCTTGGTTGATGAGAATCATAGCAGCCAGTCCACAGAACGTGTACCTGAATATCAACCCTTGTAATATAAGGAGGGTTTGCAAATACAGAGATGAGAGCAAGTATCATTCTCCTAAAATTGTAGCTATTCTGGGACGAACACATTAGGAAAAATGAAACCTACCCTCCATGAGCTTCGGAACCAGGTTCCCCCGCAATACCACCTTCATAAGTCTGACAACTGTAAATAGGATACCAGAAAAATAAAAGGGTTTCAATCCTTCTGTCCTCAGAAAGCACTAATGTAATACATTTTCCTATTAAAATGGGACATTTCATTGTTATAGAACTTATTTGTCTCATCAATTTGAAAGAGTTATGCAATATGAGGACCATGCTATCTTCAATCAATTCTAAACTAAATGAAGGGGAAGACAAGTCAAAGGGCTTGCTTATGACGCAGAAATTTGAGGACCTTATACAAACCTCAAAATATAATTTCCAACGCCCTTGGCCAGCTCATCATCCAAAATGTTCAGAATGCTTGCGACCTGAACAAATTAGGTAACATGAAATAATTATGCATTTGAGAGGGTTTATGCAGAATCAAGACAACCACAAACAAAGAAGTCACAAGATTTCCAGTATTAAGAGTGATTTCATTCCGTACAATTAATTTATTCACATGCTTGTACATTTCTTTACATGCTTTACCTATTACACCAACAGAGAAGAGCTGCCTTACCGAAATTGCAGTGTAGCAAGCTCTTACATCAATTTCCCCAGCATCATGCATCCTGAAAAGAAGAACAGGTCAAGTCATGTTTATACCAGAAAACACTCAATGCCCACATGATTTCCACTAATCATATGACAAAGAACCTGCAGTGCCATATCACACAACATATGGTGAGCATTATAGCATAGGATGGATAAACGATTGTGAGGAATGCATTTAATGGGAAGGGACAACATGGCAAAGAATGGATGGAAACCAGCCTGCACAGAAATGAATTTAATTTTCACCTAATATGGGAAGAAATCAGCCAGTGATTAGCAGTTACAGGAACATTGCACAAGTTTGAATATGAAAGCAGTTGAACCAATCAGGGAAATGTAGGGAGATGCAGAAATTAAAAAAATGAAGAAGTACCAGAAGAATATTAACCAAGAACATCAGCACATGGTGCAACGATTTCAATAGGAGAGCATGAAATCAATTTTCTTAGCCTTGACATTATTGTATTAGATAATTCAAGTAAAGGGTTCTACATACAAGAACAACAAGAGCTCAGAAACAAACAAGATGCGGGCAAGAACAAAGAAGGAATCAAAGGAGAAGAGAGCAAATAAGAAAAAGTGTCACCTGAAGGCTCCACTTGAGTCTTTCATTCGCCTTAAGAATTTGTACAAATTATCTCTGGGAACAACAATGGGTAACCATGTTAAGAAAGGTTTTCAAATCACAAATCCACTATCAAAGGGTGAACTCTTCACAATCATAAAGACTGACCACCTATTAATTGACGACAACGCTTTATTTCCGCCCAAAGTGACAAGAGAATTGACTGCAGCATACGTTGTTGCAAGATGAGGCATCTGAAGACAAAGAAAAGGGAGTAAGAACATAAGCACATAAGTAAACACAAAACCGCAACCATTCCCCTACCGATCCTGTAAAGTGCAAATGTTTCAGAAACTTGCCTGCCCTGGACCACCCCCATAGCCACCATTTGGATCCTAGAACCCGAAAAGATACAATTACTCGTCAAAAATAAGTTAAGGTAGAATATGGATATCAGCTGAACTGCAGACTAGCCAATCGTTAAATGACTAATAACTCTCTAACAAAACAAACTCAAGAACATGGTCAAATGCATAAATGAAGCAAAAAAATCAAGGACTTTATCTCGAATTGTAACATCTGCTCAATCGGTGACCAGGAACTCTTGCTACTAGCCCACAGTCCCAGAGGATAAAAGAAAAGCACTAAATACCATCAAATTTGTAACATAATAATTTGGTTTCTAGTCAGTAAGCACTAGAAGATGTTTACCTGACAACGGCTAAGAAAGTCGATGGCATTATCCTCCAATTCATCATCAACTGATTCCCCAAGTAGAGCAATTGAGTGCAAGATCCAGTAGCAAAGCCAAGGTCGACTGCGCACATACAACCAAACTTTCAGAATCGAAGCAGTCCAAGTTGAACTACACCAAACGAAACAGTCATCAATAAATAAAGCTACACAAGAAGAAGGAAGAAGTACGCACTTAGCATCCAATACAACGAATGAGGGACCGAGCTGCTGGAGTCCTCTGGTCAGATATTCTACATGCTTATCTCGTTGAAGCTCCAATCTACCAAAGAATCAACTAGTAATCCCATCAAAATCCAAAGCTAAAGCAGCAAGCAGTCCAAAGAAGAGCGATGGATAAAGCACATCCGTCTTACATTACAGATTGAGCGCTGCGAGGAATGCTGGCGAAAGCGCCGTAAATCTTAAACACGTGATCCTGAACAGCCCACTGATCCACCTGGCTCGCCGTCGCCCTTCTTTGCCTCTCCGTCGCCGCCCCTTCCCCCTCCATAACGCCGACGATGGTAGCAGAATAGTTCCAAACGGGAGGTTTTAACTTCTGGGTTCTTTGCTTACTATACCGGGTTTAGTATTTCGATTCCCTCCCGCCGTAAGGAAAGGCAGAAAAGATATAGCCAGCTAATCGGCGGCGAGACTTACCAAACTGATGTCTTTTCCCGTGGGCCCTAATAACTTAATATTGGGCCTAGCCCATCGTTGAAAGGCTTTTGGGCTATTGGCCGGGCTTCAGAGTCCACACTAATGTGCCACGCAAGCAGAGCAGATCGGACCGTGAAAAGATATGTCATACAGTCCGGCCGCCGCAAGTCGGGTAACGGGTGACCCGCCACCAGGAGGCAAAGACAAATTTGGCCACGTCTTCGCACAATAAGTACGCCCCCAGAAAGCAATGAGCTCCGCCAGAATCATCAGAGAAAAAGATGGCGATGATGATGATGAATCTGAAGCGAGCTGCAACCTCTGCAATTCGAGCTTTCCCGGCTGCTCCTTCTTCCACCGGAGCTCTGGCTAGACACCTCCACGTAAGCATGAGCCGCCCACTCTTTTATCTTCTTCTTCTTCCATCACTGTTTTCTGCTCTCTACTCTCCCACCGATCGCCGCGGTTTTCCATCTCCGATTGATTTCCCCGAGCTGGGCCGTGCAGGTGGCAGTAGAGTAGTAAATGTGCATTGTGTTTTTTTTTTTTAATTATTTTTTTACTGGTTGAATGGTCAAGCTGCGTAACTCACGAGTCACGCCAACTGTTCACTCGTTCACCGACTCGCTCGCTTGACGAGTTATCTGAACTCGTGAGCTCAAGCTCGCCTTTTCATTCACCTGTGCGTTTGATGAATTTCGTTATTCCGCCTTGAAAATTGATTTGCTGTTGATTCTCATGAGGTGGACGGAACTGTGAATTCAGGGTTCTGTGGGGGAGAGCAAGAAGATCGTGGGAGTGTTCTACAAGGCCAACGAGTACGCCGAGAAGAACCCCAATTTCCTGGGCTGCGCAGAGAATGCTTTGGGGATACGGAGCTGGCTGGAATCTCAGGGCCACCAGTACATCGTCACCGACGACAAAGATGGACCCAACTCCGGTGAGTGTGCAGTAAGAAGAAAAAAAAAAAAAAGAACAATCCATTTGATTTGCTTGCAGAATCCCCAATTGACTAGCAGGTGTTTGATGATTAAACAGAGCTGGAGAAGCACATCCCTGATCTCCACGTTCTCATATCAACCCCATTCCACCCTGCCTACGTGACGGCTGAGAGGATCAAGAAGGCCAAAAACTTGCAGCTACTTCTCACCGCCGGAATCGGATCCGACCACATCGACCTGCCGGCAGCTGCTGCAGCCGGGTTGACTGTTGCGGAGGTCACAGGGAGCAATGTGGTCTCCGTTGCTGAGGATGAGCTGATGAGGATTCTCATCCTGATGAGGAACTTCTTGCCTGGTTATCACCAGGTGATCAATGGGGAGTGGGATGTGGCTGGTATAGCTTACAGGGCTTATGATCTTGAAGCTAAGACGATTGGGACGGTTGGGTGTGGACGAATCGGGAAGCTTTTGCTCCAGAGGCTTAAACCTTTTGGCTGTAATCTGCTTTACCATGATCGGCTCAAGATGGAGCCCGATCTGGAGAAGCAGATCGGAGCTAAGTTTGAGGAGGATCTTGATGCCATGCTTCCCAAGTGTGATGTAGTTGTCATTAATACCCCACTTACTGAGAAAACCAAGTGCGTGCTTGCAGTCCGGATCGAGCTTTGCAAATTTCAGTTCTTTCAGTACAGGGTTGATCTGTAAGTTTTGTGCTATCATGAACTGGATTGAATGTCTTTGTGTTGCAGGGGAATGTTTGACAAAGATAGGATTTCCAAGATGAAGAAAGGGGTTCTGATCGTGAATAATGCTCGAGGAGCTATAATGGATACACAAGCAGTTGTTGATGGCTGCTCCAGTGGACAGATTGGAGGTAACTCTGTAGATTCCTAGAACTGACTCAGTAACCAATAATGTTTGCAAGTTCATACCCTCTTACGCCGTGTTAACCTTTCGAATATGAGCAGGATACAGTGGGGATGTTTGGTATCCACAGCCAGCTCCAAAGGACCATCCTTGGCGTTACATGCCAAACCAGGCAATGACTCCCCACATCTCCGGCACCACCATTGATGCACAGGTGAGTTCTTTCTGGTTCGAAACTGTGTGTGATTGTTTCTGCTTCATTTTCCAGCTGAATTTTACTGGTGAGTCTAACCGCAATCTGGAAAATTGGCAGTTGAGGTATGCTGCTGGAGTGAAGGATATGCTGGACAGATACTTCAAGGGAGAAGATTTCCCCGCACAGAATTACATAGTCAAGGAAGGCCAGCTTGCAAGCCAGTACAAGTGACCTCGCTTCCAATGTCTCTTCTGCTTCTGCATCTGCATCGCGAATAATAATGTGGCTCTAAGCATGGTAGAGTTCAACTTGTAATCCTTAGGCTATGTAATGGAAGACAATCTCTGCATAGGTCTCAATAAACTTAACCGTTAAACAGAGAGAACCTTCTGATGAAAATGATTTGGTCTTCAGAAATTGGATGGTGAATTGGTGATAAATGTTGTATGCCTTAGTGATGGTTTAAATTTCGCCAGCAAGAATCATTCAGCTATTCGCAACCTGGTTCCGGTACATCGGATTCCAAGTAACAAGCAGGGACCTCTATTCTCTTCAATCAACTGCAATCTGCTCCGGCAAGCAGAGAAGCGAATGAACTCGTTGACATTCTCAATCAAGAACTCTTAGTATGCACACATACAAATACTTTTTAACTATCATTGTTCTGCTGAAGGAACTGGAGATCTTTCATCTGCAATTGAACAGCTTCTTTGGACAGCTGTTTGGCCTCTGGGACATCCATTCCATCTAAACCTTCAGCAACTCTTGTTGCTTTCTCTTCCAGAATCCTCTCCATCTCTTTCGGCTTAACCAATGGGAAAACCGCTGCCAACATTACACTGAGAAGTCTCTTGTCTTCCTCTTCTATAGGATCCTTCCCAAAGCAACAAACATAAATTGCATCTAACGCCTTCTCTGCTCGGGCCTCCATCGGAACAAAAGGCGCTGCCCCTTTCGACTTTGATCGTCTCTACAGTTTCACAATGTGCCGCAAAAAGATTTAGTCCAGGCGAGTATAACTAACTAACAGATTCCAGTTCTATTGTTTCTGAAGGTCTGAGTCTTACCTCTTTCGCTGCATCCATCAAAGCAATGAAACTCTGCTCTTCGAATTCAATATCGGTGGAAATCCGAAGTCTTGCTACCCCTTCCAAAATCTCTTCAGATTTCAGGAGCCCTGCCCCTACAGCCGCCACCCAACAGCAAAGCAGAACATATAGAGGATCCCCTGCCTACAAGGACGGGAAAACACTTTAATCAAATTTCATTGCCGCAAATGATCGAACACCAGACGGGCAAGCAGAATTACCTTGCCGCGCCTGTCCTTGAACTCGACAAAAGCTCTGGAGTCCATAATGGTGCATTTCTTGCCGACCCTCCTTCTGAACTCCGCGAAATCGATGAGGTCGCTTCCGACTCCGCCTTCGTCGCTGATAATTCTGGCTATGAGACCGACAACGGGGAGGGAACCGATGACTTTGTTGGCGAAGCCGGAGATGGAGTTGGGGTTCTCCATGTAAGCTCTGACGGAGAGTAATCCATTCGAATTCTGCGAGTGCCGAATTCTGGGTACTGCGTAGTTTACGAAGATTCTGTGCTGGAAGCTTTGCAGTAATGGCGAAATGGAAGATAGGGATGAAGGAGGTGATGTCGGAGTAGTCACCACCATGGCTGTGAAAGCATATGTGGCGGGTTAATCTTTGATTTCCCCGTGGTTTATCGGCCGCACGTTTATATACGTTATCCACAACGAGGAATAGCAGTTATAGGCTCATGGGCCGAGTTTTTTAATTGGGTTTGGCCCGTGAGACCGAAGTTGGTAATTCTCCAGCGCGCCCTGATAAAATATTTGTTTTTACTTTTTAGTGCCATTTTCCTTCTTTTTTTTCTTTTGTCATATGGTGCCTAAATCCATTATATTAATTGAATCGGGATATAAATATCTCATCATGGCCATATCCCTATGTAGAACATATTTTCAAGTCAAATTTTTGAACTAGTGTAAGATTTCAATTCCCATATAGCACAATGCTCAAAAATTGAATCCATTCCAGATCGTAATAGTGAAACTCATTAGACATACAACAAAATTAGTATAAATCAGATATAGGTTAGCCTATATATATATATATGGTGGCATCTTCGGTGCACCAACTTTTTTTGGTGCATTCAATGCATTCGCCTCATAATCGTCATTCTTAGCAGGCGATTCAAGTGAAAACAATGTCAATCATCACTTGTAGTATGATGGACAAGAAACACATGAATTTGTACAAAAAATATTCTAGATTTACTTTAATTTGAATGATTTAGGGTTTATGAATTTATGGTTAGGGTTTAGGTTTACGATATGGGATTTTGGGTTGGGATCCAAAATTGAGGGTTAAGGGGTTAGAGTAATGGATTGATTAGTTGTGATTCTATGTTATGTTATCATATTAGACTAATGTTACCAATTAAAGTTCAAAATTTATTGTATTATGCCTACTTTTAGAGTTGGATGTATGGTATGCTTGTTGGATGTGATAAAAGTATCTTCTTATTATTAATAATATAATAACTACTACAAAATAATTAAATGAACGATACAAAACTACAAAAACGGTAACACTATATCACTTTAGAATAATGTTGTTATCTCAATAGTATCAACGTATTTTAAAATCTTGTACGCTCGTATGATATATTGATAATATCTTACTACAAGTCTGCATAAAAGAAAAACTTACCAACAAATGAACAAGATTATCAAAACTTCAATATCATGAAGTAGTAGCATTTGAGTCCAACAGTCATGTGATTAACATCATCACATGTGAGCTAATCAACCCTCTAGAATGAGAAAGTTGACGAGAAACAAGAACGATAATCAATTGATGGTGTCAGTCACATGATGAATAACAAGACCAACATGTTTGTTCGTGAGAACTGTTTTCCTCCTTATTAACATCTTCATTTCCTATGTGTTGTAACCATGGTTTGTGAAATCGTACCATAATTGTGGTTCAACCGCAAAATACAAGTACTGCGGTTAAACTGATAGGCGGTATTTAATGACATTAACGGTTGAATATGAAACTGGTACAATATTCTCCAGTACGGTTTCACAAACCATGGTTGTAACTGAACATGAAACCCACAATGCTAAAAATTAAAAAAAAAATACACACATTTTTCTGGTTCAGTAACACGATGTGTGATAACTACTCTACGGATTAAATAGATCAGTTTCACTATATTTGAGGAAAATACATGTTATAGAGTGATGAGAAGATATATATCACATTCTTTAAACCCTAAACAAAACATCCAAATCCTAATTCGAAATGGAATGAAAAAGACTACTGAATAAGAACAAAACCGAAAACATATGTATATATATAAACATAGCAACACAATGCAACCTTGAAATAAACCGCAGCAGATTGCCCATAGCATTCCTCCCAATTGCAAGCTTCTGGCACAGAACCAACTTGGTAAATTAATGGCATCGGAATAAGTCCATATGATCAGAAGGAAAAGGAAGAAGGAATGTGTAAGTTTGGAAGAAGGATAAGATAGAAGAGAAGGGAACACTGAAGAAGAAGAAGAAGTGGGTAGGGAAGAAGGAAGATACGTATTGGTCAGTCAGCCAAAGTCCATGTGCCCACATGCCCTGACTGCCTCATACCCATACGTCCCCCTCCTTCAATGCCATCAATAAAAGCTCCTAAAACCCCGACTCGCCGGACTTTTATTGGGGTGAAAGTTGAAGCGAAAAATTGTTAGAAAATACAGATTTAAGAATATGAAATTCAACAACTTATAATAATTCACCCCAAAAAAATAGCATATAATGATGAAGTTCACCAAGAATCGCATATATCCCATATGTACTTTGGGAATAATTACGTAGTCCATTATCACAACAATTCGAATGAGATTAGTTAAGCAAACGTAAATTTGGAGGTTTGGATATGTGAGATTATAATACCAAACAAAAGGAAGAAACTAACCACAACTACAATCGATTGACACTCGAGTTCGATGTGAAATGTTTGTGTTTAAAACCCTCCTAAATGATAGTTTCAAGTCTCCTAATAAAGTCTGTGGTTGACTTAGCCTTCCCTGATAAGTAAATTAAAAAGCTGAAATGTGTATACATTATGATACGAATACGATACAATATAATACAATGTTTTGAATTCACATGAAATCGTTAACCGAAAAAACCAACGAAGTTTAAGTTGTACAACACATAAGTAAAGGGCAGTTAGTGGCATTACTATGATGTCGTCCTCGATCCATAGTGGCATAGTATATACGGATCCAGCATATAAATAGCAACACGGACACCCACCACCACCACACCAGTCTTCTTGCTGCACCTTCCTTCCTCTGCTTTCTCTTTCCCCATTTATTCATTGATGTCTCTCAACTTCCTTCCATCACCAGAACAACAAGAAATAAGAGGAAGCACCGAACAACTCTGAAACAAAAAGCCACACAGAAAGAAACAGAGCAAGTGAGAGCCATGAAGGAGAAGAACGAGAGCGGCGGTGGCGGTGGAGGGTACGTGAGAGCTGATCAGATAGACCTCAAGAGCCTCGACGAGCAGCTGCAGCGCCATCTCTCTCGCGCTTGGACTACGGATCAGAAGAACAATTCTACCTCCACCAGGTCCGAGGGTGGCAGCGGATTGCTTCATCCACCTCTTCCTCCTCTGCCTCTCACCTCCTCTGCCTCTGCCTCTGCCACCTTCAACTCTGCCGCCGCCATCCCCGCCGTGGTAACTGGGCGGAGGCCCGAATGGGAGATTGACCCGGCCAAGCTCATCATCAAGTCCGTCATTGCTCGTGGCACCTTCGGCACCGTCCACCGTGGCATTTACGACGGCCTCGATGTTGCTGGTCAGTACTATGTTATCACTCTGTCACTCCTTTTTTTTTGGCTCACTATTCTCTTCATTTACTCTGTCCATTTTAATTAAATTCAGTTCTGAATGATCATGATGATATTATCAAGATAGCTTCTAGATTAGCAGGAACAAGGCGATGTGGTAACTTCAAAAAGTTCCAAGTTGACGTCTTTAGGCTTTTAAGGAAGTGGTAATTGCTCACGTACTGATTTAACGATACCGATGGTCGGTTTGAATTTCATGTTATTAGTTTTTCGTGTATGATCAATCAATTAACAAACTACTCCAATCTCCCCTTGTAAATTACACTAGGAAATGTGTGCTCGGTAGAGGATTAATTATCATAGAGCCCCTTCCCGTGAGCCATGATTTTCCTTTTTCTCGGCAGCCAAACAGGGGAACAGCTTTTCCTCTGGCATTATCCAGATGAATACTGTTACAGAATCCGTGATTTTTTTTTTTTTTTTTCACGAGATCATCGACGGGTTTCCCAAGCTTTTTATAGTTTAACATTTCTTCTGGGTACCCTTTTTTCCTGAAAAAGTTTCAAACTTTTCGGCTTTTAGTAATAAAAAAATTCACTTTTTTCTGTTGGATAAAAAAGAGTTAAAATAATTGAACTCTAACTCACTCTCGTTGTGGTTGGTTCTTGGTTGGGTTGGCCAGTGAAGCTGCTAGATTGGGGAGAAGAAGGTCACAGATCAGATGCAGAAATAGCATCACTAAGGGCTGCTTTTACTCAAGAAGTAGCTGTATGGCACAAGCTTGATCACCCCAATGTCACCAAGGTATTTTTCTTACTTACACTGTTCGTGTTTTTGTCATACCATATCGTCGGTATGGGTTAATGGCACATACCAACGACCATGTTGATACTACTTTATAATGTTTCATGCACGATTTTGCTAAACGGTTAATGTCAGCGAGTTTGATTTTCAATTTGGTCAACAAACATGTGCAGTTCATAGGGGCTACCATTGGATCAGCAAGTCTAAACATACAAACTGAGAATGGACACATGGGTATGCCAAGCAACATATGTTGCGTAGTAGTGGAGTACTGCCCTGGTGGTGCTCTCAAGGCTTACCTCATCAAGAATAGGCGAAGAAAGCTCGCCTTTAAAGTGGTCGTCCAAATCGCACTCGATCTTGCCAGAGGGTTATTCATTCTCTCAACTCTCTCTCTCACAGTATGTTGTTGGTATTGTTATGTACCTAACTTAACTTAGGAAACTTTCAGGTTGAGCTACCTACACACGATGAAGATCGTCCACAGGGACGTGAAAACGGAGAACATGCTCCTCGACAAGTCGAGGACCGTCAAGATTGCCGATTTCGGTGTGGCTCGCCTTGAGGCCTCGAACCCCAACGACATGACAGGAGAGACAGGGACCCTAGGATACATGGCACCCGAGGTTCTTAATGGCAATCCGTACAACAGGAAGTGTGACGTGTACAGCTATGGCATTTGTCTCTGGGAGATATACTGTTGTGACATGCCATACCCTGACCTCAGTTTCTCGGAAATGACATCGGCTGTCGTTCGGCAGAACCTGAGGCCCGAGATACCGAGGTGTTGCCCTAGCTCACTGGCAAACGTGATGAGGCGATGCTGGGATGCAAACCCTGACAAGAGGCCCGAGATGGAGGAGGTCGTTACGATGTTGGAAGCAATTGACACGTCGAGAGGTGGAGGGATGATACCTGGGGATCATCAGCCTCAGAGCTGCCTCTGCTTCCGCAGGCACCGAGGGCCATGAAAATGGAAATTGCTTCATCTCATTTGTGATGGTGACTGCTTTGGAATATACTGTAAAGTCCTTTTTTTCTAGCTCTGCTTCATAAAAACTCATGTAAGTTGTCAGTTGATGATTTCTACAACCTTTTCTTATCATATAAGTACACCTAGGTTTCTGCCTTAGACCTACTGACATTCATCAAGAATGCCTAACCAGACAAGAATCTCATGTCTAGAAAATTTGGTGTTTAGTTCCAACCATAACAGAAATCCTAGCCCAACAAGGATTCTATTTCATGAGAATTCGGTCTTTACTTTACAGAAGTTATTGTTACAGAAGAGCTTTGCTAAAAGCTAAGAGTAGTCTCAAAGAAACAGGTTACAACAAAGGGACGTACGACGAATCTTATACGCTTATGCTATGAAAGAATAATGTTCCTTAAAGTTGGACCGAAATGAATGCTGATGATATTACATTCTCAGGAAAAATATCATAACTCATAAGTCATAAGAGGATCTTCTCAAGCTCGAAGCAGCACTGTACCTGTGAAGAGAACTCGGGGTCTTTCTAAGAACCTGAAAAGCGATAGAGGTCTATAGCTCTAGCCTGCAATCTTGTAGCTTGGATTGGCCAAATTTTCGAGGCCAGCAACCACTTGCATTGACTCGATTACATCACCAACTTTCACATCTGCTAAAAGGTCCTCATTCTGGGTTATGTAACCGAACACTGAGTACCGCCCATCCAATATGTTCGCATTGCTAGGAGTGAGTTCACTTTCTTTCAGTAGCCAGAAGATTTGGCTTGAAGCTGAGTTGTCTTCAAACTCCTGTGAACAGATGAATGTTAACCATTAGGGCATATAAAAGAGTTAAGGAACGATGCCTACCATTTATATGAATTTGAGCTCCTCACATCTCTGGCCATTGCCATTGTTCCGAATGCATTGAATGGAAGCTTCGTTTGGGCCTTATATAAACCAAGCTCCTGCAACCAATACAGTGGAAAACAGCCCGACCGTAAGCCTTCTGTAAATTCAAGTAAAGAGAAGGTTTGGGAGACAGATTCGAAAAAGCATGGCGTCAAGAACCCTTACTTCCAGAGTTGCACCATAGACAGGTGCTTTCTCTCCGTCCACCATGATTTCTAGAGGAATAGTTCGAGTCTTCTCTGTACTAGGATCAATAAAACCCTCTGCGGGACCTTCAGGATCCCCAGTTTGAACAACAAAGCCATCCGCTGGGATTATGATCAAAGGACATGTCAGTAAGTCAGCCCCAGATATGTCCTCAAATCTGGAAAGAAAGTGAGACTGTAAGTTTTGTATAAACTTCACCCCTCTGAATTTGCATGCCATCATAGAAGTGCCTCTGAACCAAGTCCACGAAATTCCCTGCTGTTACAGGCGCATTGTAACCATCTAGGACAATGCGGAACACACAGTCCTCGAGATTTGGGTTGTCCTTAACCTTGACCTTCATATCCACAGTTGCTCTACCTTTCAAGAGAGGCATATTTTTGTATTCTTCAGGCACTTCGTAGGGGAAGCCATTCACCATATCCTCTTCAACACTGCAGAGAAATCCAATGCCCCAGGAAGATCTCAGCTGCAGTCAATGGACAAGGGTATCTATGAGTTCTTAGATGGACTCTAGGTTCTTTTTATCAGTCTTCACTGCACAATATGAATTCGGTAGCTAATTCATGGACGTCATGATTAAACATGATCCAATCTATATACAATCTTCAACTCGCTCCTCTCTCGTCTACTAACTAGTTAGCATTGACACAAAATGCTGAAAGCAACCAACAATATTCCATAACCACCTCAATTTTACTAGGCAGCTCATGCTATTTTGATCCATGAAAACTATTAGAAAGCCGCATCTTGAAACCAAAACACAATCAAATGTGCGAAACAAAACTCTCACCTTCCAACATAATCAAGTAGCTCCTTCTGTTTAGGCGCCACGCCATCTCGGTTCCTGCTCTCCACAATCTGCTGAAGCTCATCAAGCCCAGTTTCCAGCTTGTCAAGCACTTCCCCACCTTGCGCCCTCTTTGGCTCAGCTAATCCGGCAATTATCAAACTCTTCCCCTGCTTGAGAGCTCGAGATGCCTGCCTCACATTCTACATTTTCACAAACAAAAATACAATCAATCAACGAAGAACACGAGGAGACAAAAGAGCCACCATTAAACGTTCTGCAGCCGCCTTACTCTCTCAACAGAATCAAGAGCTTTGAGCCCAGCAATCTTGAGGCTATCAGTGATATCTTCAAGCGGCTTCTGAACTTCCCTGATGGCCTTGTTATCAATTGGCAGCGCGTACCTCAACAATGCACCAGGGTCCTTAATTGGCGGCCCGGATATCAAAACGGCAACATCAGGCAATGCCGGATTGACAGCAACAGCATTCGCGTCGGGACACCAATCCGCCATCGAAGGCGCCCCAGTTATCAACCCGACCGCCAGAGCAAACGAAACAGCACACTCCTTGAAAGAAAATGAATTCCCCTCCCTCCCCTGAAACCAAAGCCCCAACATCGATTAAACCATTTGCCGCGAAGTTGAAAACTTCAATTCCAAATTGGGAGTACCACTCACCGTTGAATCAGAGCTCTTGAGTGAACAAACCGCCGGAGCTAGGCGCTTGCTGTAGAAGGAGAGTGAAGTAGTGGTGGGACTGGGAAGCAATCGATTGTGGTGGGTTCTGGGTGTGGCGGGGAAAGATGAGGAATAGTGCCACCGGATTGACGCTCCTGCTGCTGCAGCCGCCATGGGAAGTGGCAGTGGAGTACGAACAGAATGGTGGGGGGAAGAGTCCAAACGGGAAATGGAGCTAAAGAAGAAGCATTTAGTTTGACGGATAGATCTTCGCAGATGGGAAGATGGGAGATAAGGCAATAATGGTTGCTTCGCTTGGAATGGGGTCAAGTCAAGTGGAGATGGGGGAAGAAAATGAAAAACACAAGGCGGGTTCGGAAAGTGGCATCCTCCCAACCTCTCACAATTGGGAATTCGGGATAAGGCAGGGGATAGCGTTTTCGGATTTCCGTTAAGTTTTCCCTCTCGAAGCTTCCGTTTCCCGTCGCCGTCGCCGGTGGTGGGATTGGATATGGGCTGAGCTCAGGTAGATACTGTATGAGATGGGCTCCCACTTTTAATTTCTCATAATTGGGCCTTACCTTCGATCGCCATTATCCAATAATAACAATTGGTCCTTACCCACCTAGAAGAAAAGAAAACTTCACATATATTGATTGAATCCTGAACCTCAATTCTACAAACAAAGTCTCCTTCCTGTGAACCTCACCACGAAGATGGATTCTCTCCTCACCAACTTCTTCTGGTCAGGGTCAATGCAGAAAAGCACTATGCATTGGTGTAGGAAGGAGATTCTTTGCGTCCCAAAAGCAGAAGGGGGATTGGGTTTCAGGAGTTTCAAAGATTTTAACATGGCATTGTTGGCGAAACAAGCGTGGAGAATCCTTACTTCCCCGGATGCACTTTGGTGTCGGCTCCTTAAGGGTCTGTACTTCCCGAGAGGAGGATTCCTGCAAGCGAAAAAGGGAAGTAGATCCTCCTGGATCTGGGCAAGTCTTTGGGAGGCTAAGAAGGTTATCAACATGGGAGCGATTAGAGTTATCGGGTCAGGGGAGGACACATGGAGTGGTCAAGATCCTTGGATTCCGAGCATGCAGAATTTTTTGATTGGAAGCGGCCCCCAGCAAAACCTGAGAGTCAAGGAATGGATAGACCCAGTTAATAGAAGCTGGAACACGGATGTGCTCCAAAGTCATGTGACGAGGGAAGAAATGGAGGCTATTCTTAAAGTCCCAATTGGGGAAGAGGGAACTGATGATTTTTGGGCATGGAGCCTCACTCGCGAGGGAGACTTCTCTGTCAAGTCGGCCTACCACGCTGTTCATAAAGCCAACACTAATTTCCAGCCGACAGGAAGCGAAGAGAGGTGGAAATGGATTTGGGGACTGAATATCCCGCCTAAACTTAAGTTTTTTATTTGGAGATGCTCCATAAATGGTTTGGCAACGAAAGCAAGACTCTTCCAACGCAAATGTGCACCTAACCCGAGTTGCCAAGTGTGCCACAACCCTTTCGAGTCCCTTAACCACTGTCTCTTCGAATGCACTCATGCGAGAGAAGCATGGACCAGCATTTTCCCCTCCCTTCCGACTCCCCCTCAGGGAACCTCCTTCTTGGATTGGTTCTACTCCCTCAAAGACAACATCCCTCATAACTCTCTTATTCATGTGATCTTCCTGTGTTGGAACATTTGGAAGCCTAGGAACGAGTGCACGTTTAAGAATAGAGCCCCCTGGCCCCCTAACGTGTGTCTACAGGCTTACAGAGAACTGACGGAATGGAATGCGTGCCCGAGGCCCCCACCTCAAGGTTCAGACGGTCCTACTCAGCTCAGGGGAACCCACCCTACTACGAATCCCCCGCCAAGCAATCACTCGATAGTGATTCAATGTGATGGGTCGTTCTTTAGCGACCCCCAGTCGGCGGCATATGGTGTTGTTGCTGTTAACCACCATGGACAAGTGTATGATGGGAGAGCTGATAATCTTCTTTGTTCCACCCCGATTGAAGCGGAAGCAAAGGCTCTCTTAGAACGAATTAAATTAGCTCAAGAATATGGATTGGTTTGCACATTGCAAACTGACTGCCAAATTCTGGTGAAGGCCCTGAAACAAAATCAGCCTCGATGGCCCTGGAGATGTGCTGCTTGGATTCGAACAATGGTCAATATCCTTAGGAACAATCCTTCTATTTCGGTGGAAGAGATTCCGAGGGCATTGAACGGCAGAGCTGATTGGGTTGCACGATCAAAAGCCAGATCTTTTTTGCCAGATGAGTGGATTAATATTCTTGATCTAATTTCTGGTCTCCTTTAAAGAATGTAATAGCCTTATAGCTTGTTTATCTATATTGGTGGAATAAAAGATGGTTGTTATTTGTCAAAAAAAAAAAAAAAAAAAAAAATTCTACAAACAAAGTCTTTGACTTGAGAAGTAAAAAAAAAAGTTACAGCGTAGCCTAAGATCAAAGTAACTTCCGTACAGTTACAGCCGAATCAACAGTAAAAGAAATAAACCCCGGTAACAAGTGATAAATGGAATGAACGAAACAGTCAACAATTCGGATGTGGATGGCAACGATGGTTGACGTGTGATCATATTCGACTTCAAACGGTGGTGGTGACGTCAGAGAGCTGGACCTCCGACTTGGGTTCCGCCGGCTTGGAAGCACCACCGTACTTGGTGGAGAAGTAGGCATAAAACACCAGCTGAACCACCGCAAAGATAGCTCCCAGCCCATTGCTCACCTGCAAAGCAATTGATCAATCGATGATTAATTAGCATGTGCTTCGAGTTCTGATTATAAACTAATCAATAATGACAATGGTAATAATCTACCGTAACGTACCACAATGAACCAGTCGATCCCGTGAATGAGAGCGTAGGCCGTCCAGATGCTGCCGTTGGCGAAGTTGGCGACGGAGAGCCAGAGCGGCATGAACTCCACGCTCTTGGTCTTGTAGACCTTGGCCATGACGGCGAGCGGGGAGGCGTACATGATGATGTTGAAGACGTCGGCGACGATCCCCACGGTGATGTTGCGGGAGTGCTGGGTGTGGAAGCCGGCGAGGGCGACGGCGATGATGACGCCGAAGAGCACGACCTCGCCGAGGAGGCCGAGGAAGACCTTCTTGCGGCCCTTGTTGTGGCTGTCGTAGTAGACGAAGATGGAGAGGTAGATGAGCTCGAGGGCGAGGCCGACGGAGTTGATGGTGACGACCAGGACGCTGTTCGGGGTGATGATCGGCGTGCCGTAGAAGATCCACACCAGGCAGTTCATCACGGCGGCGATGTACGGGTACGGCTGGAACTCCTCCACGTCCTTCTTCTTGCATATCCTCCAGAACGTCGGCCTGTGAATCCATCCATCATTTAACGTTTGAATTCGTGATTAACTAATTAATGAATGAATCGGGACAGAGAGATTAAGGGAGAGTAAAAGGAATGATTACGTACACAGGGGAGAGGAAGAGTCCAAAAGAGATGACGTTTCCTGCGCAATTAAGTGGACAGAATAAGACAAACGAGTCCAGATTGAGTCATACATAGATAAACACTCTAATTGACCATATATAGCGACTGAAACGCAGCGTTTCTGTGGAACCGGAGCACCAAAATCGGATCCCGAGTAGCCAAACAGGCGGAGGAAAATCGATCGCGGATTTTCTCGGTAGCCAAACAGATCGATACGAGTAAAAATAAACTAGCAAATTATGCTAATGGCTCGATAGGAGAGGGGAGAAATCAAGTTAACTGATTCTCTAAACAACGTAACAAACGGAATCGCTGCAGGAAACAGTAGGAAAATTAGAGAGGCCGGATTTACAAGAAGCTAGGAACGGCGTTATGATTGGAATGCTCGCCGGCGAATTCAACACACTCGTTTACTACTAATGAGAATACGAAATAGCTGGCTAGTTTTCGCAAGCAAGGAAGGGAATCGCATCAATCAAAGCAACTTCGAAGCAATCGGAAAGAGCAGTACTGAGATAATGATCAATGTAGATAGAGATAAATCGAATCGATCAGCAGAAAATAGCAGGGGTAACTGTTCGGTGGAAGAAGAAAAGAGAAGGAGAACGGAATCGGAGAACGATTGATTAACTTACCGATGATACCGACGACGGTACGAGCAAGCTCTGCGTTCACCATCCTGATCTTCTTCTCCTTCTTTCTTCTTCGCGAGTCTACAAAGGCAAAAGGCGGTGCTAGCTAGCTAGAGAGAAGTAACAATAAATCTGGGATTGTACGGGGGAAGAGCAATATTTCCAGGCAAATATATATATATATATATTGAGTGCGAGAGAGTCCTGGCCTGATTGGAATTTACAGCTGTAAAAATGTGCAAACGTATCCTGGTTTACCGCCCAAGTAACTAATCCACGGTGGATTGGATCAGATTCATCCTCCAAGGCGAGTCGGATTTCTTATTTTCGAAAATTATTTATTGTTTTGTTCCCCGGAAATTAATCTTCCAAGTCAGATAGAACAGAAACTCTGGCTTGCTTTCCCGATTAGTTGAATAATATTTATTAATTTATTAGTTGACCTTGGTGGTCAAGTTTTAATTAGGGCTTCGCTCTCGCTAAGTTTTATCCATTTCCACCTAGATGAAAATAATAAAAAGAGGATTCATGATAATTATGTGCCCATTTTGGTTGTAATCATGCTAATTTTGTTTTACCCAAGGTTCTAAAAGGCGCTAGGCGTAAGGCAGGCGCTCGACTCCTGATTTGCGCCTTGCCCGATTAGGCGTAGCCTAGGTGTGCCTAGGCGTTCAGAGCAAAAATGGATAAATTCTCAAATATTTCCTGTTTTCTGGAATAATTGATAAAATCCAAGTGCATATAAAATTATAAATGCCTAGTTCTTAACAATAAACACTTAACACAACAAATAACAAGCAAATAGTGACCAATCATATGCTAATAGGGGCTTATAGAGGAAAGAAGCTTGTGCTACGTACCGAGGAGAAGGAAGGAGCAACAATTGACGAGTTTCAACTTTATTTCCCACTATAGCAGCGGTGTGAAGGCGAGAAGAGTGATCGATGACTTTCTCTTGCGGCGGCAGAGAGCAGCAAATAGGACGAGAGCTAGGGTGGCAGGCGGTAGCAGATGGGGCGAGAACTAGGGCGGCAGGCGGCAGCAGATGTTACTTCCCGTGTTTCTGATTTTCTAGGGCAAGATGCAAGTTTATGATTTTCTAGGACAAAACAAAGAGTATTGGGTTTAACCGCCTAAGCTCGCCCAGGAACGCCCAGGCACGCCTTCTCTCCACTAGGCGCAAACTAAGCGTTATTCCTACTTACTAAGCGCTACCAGCGCCTTTTACAATGCCTATGGCCAAGTCAAGGCGATCATCCACTGCCTAGCGCCTAGTTGAGCCTAGGCGTGCGCCTAGGCGCGCCTTCTTGAACCCTGGTTTTACCATTTATCGGATTATTATTGTTGTTGTTACGGATTGGAGGAGGAAAGCACAGGTGCGGATATTTTTGAGTGTACGTACCGTGAG